CCCCCCCCCCCCCCCCCCTGGACCTTGCAATCGCCTGCTAAAATCCACACCCAGGGAAATAATTTATTTACAACATATAAAATTACAGTACCAAGGAAAACACGGCAGCACCAGTGCTAATAACGCCAGCGGCCAAGAAAGGGATGACCCGCCAAGAAAGAGATGATCCAACCACCCATCCATATGACCACGGGACAGACCATGACGGATATCAACAGGATCAGGATCACGCATAGAAACATATCCGTTAAGAAAAGCCTAACATTAGATTTTAATTAATGTTACCCACGGGGGACGATAAAGTTTGGTGTATTATTTAAGTTTATGACAAGCGTCGGTTACGATGTCGCCAAGATAAGCTATTGATGTTACAAAAGTGGTCCCGTCGTCACGTGGCGGATTATTAACTTTTTATTGAGTTTTTTATTTGACTTTATTAATTATATATTATGACTTATCTATCTTTATCCATACGCAAAATATGATAAGGGAAATACTATATCTAGTGCAAATAAAGAAATTTTTTGGTTTAGGCCCAGTTTCACAACTCACGGTTAACTCTTAACCGAGATTCAACTATATGTCACCTTTTTCTGTAGAATTGAAAAGAGATAATAAATAAGTTGAACTTCGCGCGCGGTTAAGAGTTAACCGTCAGTTGTAAAACTGGGCCTTAGAGCTTACGAATGGCGAGTTACAATATTGAGAATGTGGTTCATTGACTTATAAATCATAAAATATTTATTAGTTAATAAACCCCTTTGGATTAATAAAAAAATAAATTAAGAACATTAGCTCTGAGATGATAAATCGAAAAATTAGAATTAAAATGCTCTTTCTAAAGAGACAACTTGTTATTGAAGTACAAAATGTTCATTCGTTATAAATTATGAAAAGAATGATCTAATTTGCGTTTATTATAAACATTATTTGGTCTTCAATGACTGCGTGGATTCTAAAAGAAATTTTAATTCTAATTTTTGAATTATAGAAATAGTTAATTTATTTCTATTTCTATTAATAATAATTGTATAATATATTTTTTAGTTATTATAAGAAAATCTTCTGAATTATAGCGGTAGAAAAAAAGAAAATTCAGAAATATAAAGAAAGAGATAAATAAATATTTGTAAAAATAGTTAAGAAAAATAAAACGATCAGACGAATAATGTAATTGTAGACAAAACAAAAGAGGAAAAAATTGAGAATAAAATTACAGAATTAATAGTAATATCTTCATCTCTCTTTTCGTATAAACTTCTTATAAATAAATAAATAATTTATACTTTCCGTGTCCAAAAACCATTTAAATAAAAAAATCGACACACCTGGTTTTATAAAAGGGAAACAAGACTAAAAGTCAATGTACTCTGCGCTTGAAAAGTATCAAAGAATTAAAGTTAGGAGTGTCAGTGCAGTGTCAGTGCCAGTGGTACGATGTCGGTGATAGTGATGGAGAAGGCAGAATGCAGCTCTACAGATGCACCGATACGTAGGAAATAACGGTTGAAGAGAGGGGGTGGTGCGGTGGTGGCGAACGCGCGCTCGCACTCTGCAGGGCCCACTTGTTCTCCACTACGTCGGCTTGTCACTCGCGAGCGTGTTGCCGGTGCGGCAACATCGAGTGCGTCTCCCTTCGACCTGGCCGCGCTCCCCGAGTTTGTTCCATTCGAGAGAATCGCCGGGAACCACCACGAACTATCACTATACCGAAGGACGTAAGGAAGAACAGTCAGTTCCTATAAATTTTTATCCGCGAAGATCCAAAAGTGGTAAAAATCTAAAGTGGTGGAGAACGAATGGTCAATCAGCAGTGATCGCAGTTAACGAAAGAAAAGTGCACGCGAGCGTCACATCGTGCGCAGAACATGTTCTAAGGATTATCACTTTTTTTTGGTTGTATCATTTTTTTTCTTCATTCGGTGATCGCGAAACAAAGAGACCGAGAATGGCAAACGAGACGTTGGCGCGCGAGGTAGACGCGCACATTGTGACTATTCTATCGAGGCTATCGGCCTTTCGAGAGAACAATGCCGATGTGACTGACAGAAAGGCACCCATGTCCGTCGAGGCGCGCAGTTTAGAGCTATGGCGAGCGGTGGCCGTCGAATGCTTGGCCACGTTCCTCTTCAGCCTCGTAGTGGCCGGTGCGGCCGCCGCCTCCGCTGTATCCGGAAGCGGCCTCTCTGCGTTAGCCACCGCTGTAGCTTCCGGTTTCGCCATCGCCGCGATCTCCCTCATCTTCAGCCACATAAGCGGTAAGGGTGTTAATATATTATAGTGATATTGTTATGCAAGGTGATAAAGAAGTATAGGGAGCAATGTATGTCTGTCATCGAGTTTCGAGAAACGTGATTTTGTTAGAAAAGAAGTGATAACAAGATGATTCTTTGTATTTAGTACTTATATAAAGTTTTGGAAATTAAAAATTTTTTTAATTAAAATAATTCTTATTTTTATAATGATTAATTTAATAATTAGTTAACTGTCATTTTAACTTTGTTTAATTTTTCATTCTGTTTTTATGATTTAGAAAGGATAATAAGTCTCACTTATATATGCCTATTTATCTATATAATACATTTTTTTCATTTCATATATGTCCAAATTTTATATGTCAACGTTTTTTGACATACATGAAATAAATAAAGTATAGATTTATGCGTAACTAAAAAGAATAATGTTACAAACAGCATTATTCTAATTAAAAATAATTCTTGTTAATTGTCAACACTATTAATGAAACAAATATATCATGCTCTTGTTTTAATAAAATGTTGTTTATTTAATTAATGTCAGGGATGTACCAGATATTCGGGAAGGATTGCCAGATGTCCGGTACATCCTTAATTAATATTTTAATTAAAAAAATAATCTTGTTAATTCAATAATTCTATTAATGAAACAAATCTGTCATGTCCTCATTTTAATAAAATGTTTGTTTCACTAATACTGTTATTGTGTGTATTCAAAATGATAAAATTATTTTGAATTGAACTAATGCTGTTAACATAAATATTCTTTTTTCCGTGCAGTTCTATTTGATTGCTGCGTTTCAAACAAGAATTAATTTTTTCTCATAAATATTCATAAGAACACTTATTTTCACAAGCAATAGTCCGCTTGATTTCAAATTATATACGCATTTGGTGTTGCGTTCGCAAGGCTTCTACGTAAAGCACGCATCTTCAACAAAGCGTTCAGAGGCTAATTACGCAAAGGGTCGCGAACTGCTCAATGCGACGATCTCGTTGCATCAATGGTTCTGTTCCTTCTTGTACATAGGTTCATGAGCGACGGCCCTCGCGATTTCTCTCGATTGGCTCGTTAACCGATTACGCTGGCGCGGCCGACATTACCGTGTTGTGCGTGTCTGGAACGTATGTGGGCACTCTCGGAGTACATTCCGCCGGCACGCACGATACGCGACATACGATGCGTGTAATAAACTCTCAGTTGTCGTACTGTATGCCGGAAACCCGATCGTGTTTGCTCCCGACTCGCTATTGTTCCATAAATAAACGCAGAGAATGCGCGCGAATTTAATCCATTCAGACATTTCAGACTGTGTGCATTGCACAATGTACATCAAATTTGAGTATATCATCCCCCGAAATTTATTTAGTCCTATTGATATTATCTGAGAACAAATTACGTAATAATGTACATATTGGAAAAATAGAAAAAAAATATAATTTTTAGTACGAATTATTTATTAAGATGCACAAGGAGAAAAATGATTGGTTGAATTAACTGAAATTCTGGGATGAAAAATGAACGCGCGATCTAGAATTCTGATTAAATCTACTAAATTTCTGATTAAGTCTACTAAAACAAATTCTAGTTGAAATAATCAACATTTAGAATTTTCTTAGTTAAATCTACTAGAATTCTAGTAGATTTAACCTGAAATCTAATAGACTTAATTAGAATTCTGGATCGTTTATTTTCCGCCAAAATTCCAGAATTAATTCAATCAAATATTTTTCTGTACTCTTGGATCAAATTAAAAAAAATTTTGTTAGCATGGTTCCATTAAAATCAAATCTGAAGGGGTTCATCCTATTCATTAAATGACTGTTTATAACTTAAAAAGAATTCTATTCTATAATCCATAGAAATACACAAGATGATTAAAAATAAAAAATTCTCGCGTCGATCCAAGAGTATCTTTATTTTTTTCGAGCGCGAACGGGATGCACTGTCCTTGTTCGGTCTATCCAACCCATCGTCCGTAATTGAGCTCGTCAATCTTATAACTTGTGTTGCCGGCAATTATTTCTTCTTGGATTTATTAACGTTACAATTTTTAGTCAGAAATAAAAAATGAACAGAGATGAAAGTCACTGGAAAGAAGCGTCGATCAAACCAGCAGGGTAGTAAGTCAAGAGAAGAATTGCCCAATCTCCCTCTGTCTTCTTTGATTCTTTCCTTTTCTTTATATGGAAAACCTTCTGCACGCAGGTGGACACGTGAATCCAGCGGTTTCGGTATCGTTTGCTTTGTGCAGACGGATTTCCCCACTTCGCGCTGTACTGTACGTGGCGGCACAATGCGGTGGCGGCATAGCTGGGGCGGCGATGCTTTATGGGTGAGTTTCGTCTTTGAAAATCAACATACCTTGATAGAAAATAATTCAGTCGGTTGCGCGAGATTGGTCGAAGTCGTCAACAACCGTTGAATAAGTTTGCACGTTGAAAAACTTGGCAGATATTCTCTCAGATGGTTATCATTTCGCTTAGCATGAACAATGAAATGATTGACGATCTAGAGCGCAACGAAGATATCAAATATTATGATATGTCATGCAGAAGTTTTTGGATATTTTTATTCCGAAAGAAAATCGCAAGATAATTACAAGATAATAGCTACATAATTTTTGTTATGAATTTGAAAAAAGGAATTTAGATTTATTCTTCTAATTTTAATATAAATTTTTTAAATTCCTAAAATAGTCGATAATTAGTTTTGTAGAGAGTATCTTAATATCTAATCGCAAATGTAATTAGCAGGACAAAAATAATTAATATTAACAAAATCGATGTTATCTGACGTGTAAAGTAGTGTGGGTCCTTGACAGTGTTAAGATCGGAATGAGATACACTGCTCTGTGAGGACAGCTGCTAGATAGAAGAACCAGGAAGGCATGTGGCCCATCCAAAGCTGGGCCGAGTTTTCTTCCAAGTGTTCGTACCGTGGCCGGTGGCCTGAGCGAGTTTTGGGAGGAGCCTAAATATTATCCACATCGTGATTTCTGTTTCACGTCGGCTATGCGTAACGGCGAACAGGGCAAATGTTTTCTTCGGCAATTTCAACGCTTTGTTTATGCCTTTCTTTGATAATTTCAAGGAAAATTTTTAAGGAGTGTATTGTTGAAAATAACAAAACGAATTTCATCGTTATGGATGTGCAAGAAATACTTAAATTAGAATGCCATAAAAATATCATGCTTAAAAGCTTGCAAGACCGATACTTTTTTTTTATGAGTATGTATGTACACGACGAATTGAACCGTAAAGTTGCAAGGACCAGGATTTTAATCCTTGTAGCTGTAAAAAATACCACGCATATCTTGCAAACGTAGATAAGTTCCTTCAACGTGGAACATTTCGTATCGCATAAAGTAAACGTAAAGCATTTGTCGCCAGATATATAACAGTTTTATGTGATAATGCACTTTCCAAGT